GTTTGTGTTTGTGTTTGTGTTTGTGTGTGTATGTATGTACGCATATATATATATATATATATATATAATATGTGTGTGTATCTGTTTACATTTATTGTGCGCGTGTGTTTTTTTGTGTGTTTTTGTGTGTATCTATATATATATATATATATAATATATTTGCCTTTGTATGTGTGTGTATGTATACCTGTAGCTGTGTGTATAGAAATATATATATTTATTGTTATTGAGATATCCATTTATCTATATATAGATATATATATATATATATTTATAATTGTTAGTGTGGGGTTTTGAATATGTTTATATGTGGATTTCAATATGTATTTTCCTATGTACGTATTTTTACTTCCATATCATTCACATCTGTGTACGTATATATACTTTATATGTATATATGTATTTATTTCTATATTATATATATATATATATATATATATATATATATATATATATATTCAACTATGATAATAATTTGAAGCTAGAACTCGAACTATGCACCACTCCATATACCGCCGGAGATCCTCACATACCATGCGTTGTTCGTCATCCCACAGCCGCAAATCGATCATGCAGTATCTACTTGACGCCGGTCTCTCACAGACAGCTAGTACGCTTGAGAACGAAGCTCTCATGGATCCGCTTGATGGCAACGAAGCAAAAAAAAACACAGGCGAGCATTTATATCCGCCCGTTGGCGCTCTCATTCCTACATTTCCATTTTCGGTCTTGCTCAATTGGGTTTGTGTCTAGTATGTCGGCATATAAGGAGAAGAACTCAGTGATTTTTGTTACGCTACAACGGATTATCTGCAGGTTTATTGGAGAAGAAATGGGTATCGGTGATGCGCCTTCAGAAGAAGGTCATGGACCTCACAGCTCAAGTGGCGACCCTCACGGAGGAACTCAGCCAATCGTCCACCCGAAAACCGAATAACCAAGGTATCATGTACAGTACATGAAATGTTGATTCAGATGTTAGAGCCTGTACCCAAAGTCGGACCCTAGATTATATGTCCCAGGCATAAGGCTTGTTCCTGTGGCTATCGCCAGTGCGTGCACTCATGGTCGGAGCTAGTGCTTTCCATTGGTCTCGGTCAAACCTCAAGTCTGGTGAATCAAAAATGACAAGGGCAGGGTACTGAGTATCAAGTTCTGTGGTTAGGTCTCAGCGTAGCTCTGTGATCCGGTGCTAGCGATATATGTGCTTGACTGTTTGCCACGCGATCGTATGCAAAGATGGGACCGTGTCGCATATGCGAACGCATGTACCATATCCCTCGTTGGAGCCCCCCACAGCACTTGCATTTCGACTGTGTTGTACTTGTCAAGTTCTCTACTGTGCTATGTTTATCGCGGCCACCGCTGTGTGCCAGAGTCTTCTGAGCCGCCGTACGAGGCTATACTTATCAAATGTGTGAATGAAGCTCTTAATTAATATGGAAATGATTCTATTATACCTTTAGAAGACACTTGACAGAGCTTTACTTATTTCTACCTATTTTCTCCCGGCCAATGCGCAGACTGGATACCCCGGCCGCCGGAGAAACAAAGGTTAAAGGGACATAGAGGTCCCATTACGTGCGGTAAGTTAGTGGCACATCAACGTATTTGAGGCTTGGTTGCCATCAGGACCGCAGCACTGATGTACTTATGTTGTTGAGTTTGTTTATACACACACACTGTAGCTATTGTGTGAGCATGTATGTTGTCGCCCATCCGCCCCAGCCTGTCCTGATTACCCTCCGGCTATAGTGCGTGCGACAAACACCAAAGCACGAGCACAGGAATGCGGATACGTATTTGTAAAGAAGCACCGACGATTGGAGCTGTGGTTTTGAGATAGATGCGTTCGTAGCAATGAAAGTATCAAAAGCCGCCACTGACGGCTTCTGTGCGCGGGAAAACTCGTTCCGGAATTATTTGGAGGTGGCTGACAATGCAGTAGCACAACGGGCACTCGTACTGTACACCTGTCTCAATACGAGCCAACGGGGATGGAGCCTCAGCTGATGCTTCATATCCTCGGTCAGCCGTCTCGTGCTGACCGAACAAGTGCGGATGGGTGCTTGACAATTGCGGCTTTCGATTTACTATGTTCGGTTGATTAGCTGTCTCTAATGTCTCGTCCTTTCTTGTGCTTCCGGCGCCCACAGTTCGATTCCATCCCGTTTATGCCCTCGCTGCCAGTGCCTCTGAAGACGCCACGATAAAGGTACACTTGGCTTACCCGAAGCTGTCCGCGTGTTTTCCAACTTTTAGTGGCATTGCTGTCATTGGCTGAAGTTCACATGGTAGTAATACATCCTATATGACTCTAATTATGAGTAACCAAGCCGTGCCACTGATTGTCTATCCCAATTGTGCTGTATCTGTGCTTCGTCGGTTGTGCTTCGTCGGTTCATTAGCCTTGGATGAGATGTCGATTAGTCCTGAAACCTTTGTGTGTTAGACTTTTCAGAGCAGTACAACTAGCAGTGGCGAGCTCACCCAGGCTATCTATAGGACCGTATGTCTATACTTCAACGTGGTTAACCAGAATCGCCGGCGATGTTTTTTAGGTTTAATTGTGTTTTCTACTAATTTTGAGTGCTATTTTGAGTGCTATTTTGAGCCTATACAACCCATACTTTTGTTGTATTGGACTCAATCTTGCACCACTCGCCCTGTGATGTGTCTCAGACTGTAGTTGCTGCGGGTCTCTCGCACTTTTCATTCATATATGTGGCTTGCACATACTCTGACAAGTTATTGAGCTCCCTGGCCCACATTGCGAGGGGGAAATTCATAAGTTGTATATGGTGTCTATCGGTATTACAGTCGCAAGTATTCTCGTGGGTTCAAGTATTCTCGTGGGTTGGTGATATCATCTGCAGCTGTGCTCATACCCACTGCACAGTACACTTCACTCACCGTGCTGGCCGTCACGCCTCTCTGCAGGTGTGGGACTATGAGACCGGAGAGTTTGAGCGAACCTTAAAGGGGCACACGAATATAGTACAGACGATAGCCTTTAACCACAGCGGCAGTGTCATCGCATCGGCGTCCGCTGATTTGACCATCAAGCTGTGGGACTTCCAAACATACGAGTGCACAAAAACACTCTATGGTATGTCGCTCGTGATATCGACTGTGCGTTTGCCAGCTCTGTGTTTTTTTTATGTGTGTGTCTGACTTTGGATAGACCCGTAGAATGATTCTAATGAGTGCTGTGTGTCTATATATTTGGTGTGTATTTGTTGTGCTGCGTATGTAGTGCTACATGTTTGAGCCGTACGTGTTATGTGTACAGCAGTGTGACATCTTCTGGGTATAGTCACTGTGAGACCTTCCAATGAGTGCTGTGTGTCTGGTGTGTATTTTTTTTGCAGCGTATGAAGTGCTACATGTTTGAGCCGTACGTGTTATGTATACAGCAATGTGACATCTTCTGGGTATAGTCACTGAGACCCTTTCATAAGTGCTGTGTCTCTATTACTTGGTGTGTATTTGTGCGTGTACGTGCAGCGGAGTCTAGTAGTACTTAGCAGCAACCATTCGAAGCCATGATTGGGCGCTACATGGATGCTGAGCACGGTGCAGCTAGCGGTGCCTCTGGTGTACGCTCTTAAACCGGTTTCTGAACAATAAGGTAGTCCTTCCGTTGTCCCAGTCACTATGATACGGCAGCATTGCCAGCAGCTCAGCCCCTGATAACGTTTTTCGGAGTGGGCGTCTTCAGTCGTGAGATCTCATATTAGCGTTGCTAAATAGTAACCAGTTTCGATGGAAAGCTTTAAGTCAAGATCTTGTGCCTATGTACGACCGGCTATCGCGCGTTATTCGTTTTATTTTCATCACCCGACGGCAAACACTTACAGCACCGAAGCGCAGTTGCTTTCCTTTAATTGCCATTCACCCAAAAGCCTGCGCGCGCTATTCATTCGATGATGTTAGCTGTTAGGTAGTCATCCTTTGTGCTCGTGCGAGTGTCATATCAGCATCCCCATGTGTGTGGTGCTGGGCAGCCTACTTCTGCCGTGTTTGCCACTTAGACTACTCCTGATTGTTACAGGACATGATCACAACATATCTGGAGTGACCTTTACACCCTCGGGGGATCATATCCTTTCTGCTTCGCGAGATAAGACAATTAAAATGTGGGAGGTGGCTACTGGGTAGGTGAGATGGTAGTGTACTTGCGCGTGTATTAGAGCGGTGGAACTTGTCCATGTGTGCTCCTTGGTAGGTGTGTGATTGTGATATATGTATGTGTATGGCGGTAAATACTGTTACCTTGTGATTGTTGCATACCGTGGCAGATAGACATCTTTTTCAACCAGATGCTTTAGATGTGAGCGTGTGGACATAATGTGTACGTATGGTTCGATATCAGTGCATGTGACGGCGATTGCGTGTATATCACGGATGTGTGCTTTTGCCTATGGTTTCTGGTGTTCGCCGCTGTCTAAGTATGTGTTTGCATCTGCAGTGCGAGTATTTCTATTTATTCCTAACTGTGGACAGTCATGTGGGTAGTAGTCTGCATGCAGAGGTCCTACTGCCGTGTATGGTGTGTGGTGAATAATAATCTACTACGTGTACAGTTAACCTTAGTCTGCGGCTGCCTTTCAATAGCTGGTTCTGTATATATATCAGGATCCAAGCGACCAACGTAGTCTTAGGGGGGGGGGCTTCGTTGCTTCTTAGATTTCTATCAGAGACTCGCTTCTACTCTATCCCTATACAAGCGATGTGGGTGTACAGCTGGGCCAAAACCACACTACAGCCCACAGGACGTGTGCGACAAACGACAAAACCACGCCACAGAACGAACCTTTCTGCACATTTTTCTTGTGTTCAGTTTCTGATGGACACCCCTGGTTCCTCCGTTCTCTGATCAGATACTGCGTGAAGACTTTCCAGGGCCATTCCGATTGGGTGAGGTCTGTGGCCATCACCGTGGATAGCGCGATGTTTGCGACGGCGTCTAACGATCAGGTGCGGCTGCTGCACTCTCAGTCCACTTCTTCGCAAACGAATTGCTGTGTTTAGTGTACATAGATATGTCTAAACACCAATTTCCAAGTCTGTGTCTGATTCCGTCTGCTATCCCACACAACCTATTTGCCCTTGAGAATGCTTTTGTGCACATTCTTGTCGGACGTGCTATATCACACGACGGTCGTTCTATTTCAAGGATCTGAGAGACCATTTGAAGCATGCAGTCCGAGATACAACGCGGTGCAAATGAAAGCGTTTGGCATGGCCTCACATGTCTAAGGGACGCCTAACATCAAATGAAAGCGTTTGGTATGGGCTTACATGTCTAAGGGACACCTAACATCAAATGAAAGCGTTTGGTATGGCCTAACATGTCTAAGGGACGCTTAACATCAAATGAAAGCGTTTGGTATGGCCTTACATGTCTAAGAGACGCCTAACATCAAATGAAAGCGTTTGGTAGGGCCTTACATGTCTAAAGGACGCCTATCATCAAATGAAAGCATTTGGTATGGCCTTACATGTCTAAGAGACGCCTAACATCAAATGAAAGCGTTTGGTAGGGCCTTACATGTCTAAAGGACGCCTATCATCAAATGAAAGCATTTGGTATGGCCTTACATGTCTAAGAGACGCCTAACATCAAATGAAAGCGTTTGGTAGGGCCTTACATGTCTAAAGGACGCCTATCATCAAATGAAAGCATTTGGTATGGCCTTACATGTCTAAGGGACGCCTAACATGCTTATTCGCCCACATGGCTGTACCAATAGCACCCCCACAGTCTGCAGGCATATGTATACTGACTAATGTCATTCGCGCTTGTGCACACGCACACCCTTACAGACGGTCCGTATATGGAATCTTAGTTCAGGTGAGACCAAGCTAGAATTACGAGGACACTCACATGTGGTCGAATGCGTAGCCTTTGCCAACGAGAAAGCGTGTGCGGCTATTGAGGAGTTGATGAGAGGCGGTCCCAAAGAAGGGGACGCGAGTACAAAGGCGCCAGCCAAAAATAGGAATGGGCTTGTTAGCCGGTTTGTGGCCACGGGATCACGAGATAAGGCTATTAAAATATGGGACGCAAACAACGGCAATTGTGTTGCCACGCTGGTATGTGCGTTTGGGTACTGATTTTCGTTATGACGAGGTGTGTATAGTGAAGTAGAAATGCGTATCGATAGGCTGATAGTTAGGTGTTTGTATATATTGGTGTAGATGTGTGTGTGTCTGGAATTTTGTTGTGTGAAAGCCCGACTTCCGCCTTCGGACATGCAGTACTCGTATAATCACTTTTCTCACTGCTGGCGCCACAGTCAGCACCTCCAATGCGAGACTGACCTGCTATTATATGTCGCCATGTGAGCACAACATTGGAACACCTTTGAGCAGTTTGGAGAGGTCAATGTACGCTGTTGCAAACTATATATTTGTTGCGCTTGCTTCTAGTTAAGATCTGCGTACTCGGTTACATTGCCTAGCAATGAATTGCTTGCGATGATAGCGTGTTACGAGTGTGAACTTGATATGTGATTTATGATCCATCAGTTAGCAATAGGTTTTATATTGATGGATTAGCACCTTCCGCTTATATTTGCCCTGTACCTTGGAACAAGTCTTGTTTGAGATGCACATTGTCGGTCGTTTTATGCTACTGGATTGTTAGATGGGATTCAGTCTGGAAAATTTGTTCAATTAACGAACACATTTGATGATTTTCGAAATGCTCAATATAGTGTTCTGATCCTATCTTGCTCATCACATTCATCTCGCATCCAGGTGGGGCACGACAATTGGGTGAGGGAAGTAGCATTCCATCCGAATGGAAGGCTGCTGCTTTCATGTGGGGATGACAAGGTGCGATCGCTTGTGTACTTGTGCCAGTGCGAACGTATAGAATAGCTGTATTTTAGTGTAGCAGAATTATTTGCAAGTATTACGAGCTAACATTCGTTTATGACGTGTGATTGTTTGGTTGCGCAATGCATCTGCGATGGGATTTCACTAGGGTACAGAAACAAGTATTTTTGGAATGTTTAGATGTTTCTACTAAAAGTATATCTGCTCCGTGACCATATCGTATGGTCGGCAATTCAAGTTTGCGCTTTGAGAAGTATTTGGCATCGCCCTTCCCACGTACGTGCTCTCAACAGCACTTGCATACGCATATGTATACCTGCATATATATATATATATATATATGGCTCATATATCTGCACTTTCTGAGTATTAACAGAGTTGTAAATGCCACCATTGGTGTTTGTGAGACCGGGCGTCCTTCATTCTCACAAATCTTTGCCGACTCCTATCTGATCAATGTAAGTGCGGGCTTCTTTTCTGCCTTATTTCATACTCAACTCTCGCCTCGATCGTCTGACTCCTCCACCTAGACCGTGCGGATATGGGATCTTGCAGCGGGCCGATTGGCAAAGACACTCAACGCACACGAACACTTCTGTAGCACTCTAGACATACACCACACAAATCCGGTGGTGATCACTGGCAGTGTTGATGAATGTATCAAAGTATGGGAGGGCCGATGAGGGGCGCCGAACGAGCGTGCGTGCGAGTATGACTTGGATCGAGCTCCGAAGGATTAATAAAATAAGATGATAATGAAGCGTTTGCTCTGCTTTCCATTTGCGAGCGTGAGTGTTAAATTTCAATTCGGCATAAATATGTGTGTATGTGGTGTTATCGTGAAAATATGTATATGTACATATGTATATGTATATATATTTATATATATATATATATATATGTGTGTGTGTGTGTATATATTATGTACATATGCATATATATATATATATATATTTGTCTGTGTCTGTGTCTATGTCTGTGTCTGTCTGTGTGTGCGTATATATATATATATATATATATATTGTTGTGTGTGTGTGTGTGTGTGTGTGTGTGTGTGTGTGTGTGTGTTAAATGCAGCAGGACAAATCCCTTGGTCACGAATGTAGAGACGGATGCCGGTCTAGCATCAGACGAGAAACCACAACTGACCCACACTATGAGGGCTAGCGACATTAAATCTACAGATAAGTTCATGCAGCAATTGTGAAGTGCGGAATTTCGGCACGCGTAAGTATCGACGAGATAAAGAGCGACAAGAGTCTGAGGAGATACACTGTACAGGAGTGTACGATGAGATATAACAATAACGTGTACAACCCGTTGCGATATAATAATTATGACAAGAACCAGTTTAATATGACGTCAACCAGGGGTGATAGTTGATGCGATACTTAGAGTCTGACTGCCGAATAATCAACACGCTCGATACTATATATAATATCGAATATTAAATGATGTTTGAACTACGTGCTAATTCTTAATCGAGGAACCAATGCTTGAGATGTGATCTACAGCGTATAAGGGTATTTTATTACACTGTCAATCGCAGCCGCTAATAAAAGGGCAGAGATTATTCATGATTCATGATTTTTCGTGAGTCTACAAGATCGCGTAACGCACTCGTAAACGCAGCCGTTAGTGAAAGCGCATATAACATCAATGATAGTGGTTTTTCTTTTGTATATATCGAACGCGTATAGTGTAGTCCCACCAAGGTTGCGAAAAGGCTAACAGTTTACTATTCAATGTCCCAGTCCTAAGTGTGCAATGTCAATGTGACTATGTGATCCACAGCCCTCTGGCCCAATCTGAAACTCTGGCCCAATCAAAAAGGTGAAAGCAAATGTTGAGGTTTCTATTCTAAAAACGCAAACACGAACTCAGAATATCTCATCTTGACATATTTATTAAAATGACGCCGGTTATGACTTTCATTAAAAAAACATTCTTTAAAGTTTATGTTCTGCGTAATCGCAGCCTACATCTCCTTCACTGCCACTTTCTTCAGGTGGTGGAATAGAAGGTGCTCGATTGCTTCTCCATTCTTCTAAGGAGGAAATACCAATTTATATTATTTTTCCCTTGACAAGAGGAAAAAACCCGTGGAAAAGTAGGTGGGAAAAACACGTGAAAAAAGGGGTTTTCTTGTATCTTTCCCTACTAAATGCGATCAACTCTTTACGAATCCACTATAGTCTTTATTTTCTTCCGGTTCTGACAAGTTCTTTCTCCCCAGGGAATCCCAAAGTTTTGAAAATGATTCGTGTAAATACTTGCTGAATTTGATTTCTATCTGGGTTGTGTCGTCTAGAAATTAATAATTGAAGAAAATAAATCAATTCTTTGAATTGATGACGTTTTAGCCAATATAGGTTGGAGAACAAGTTCAATACAGACTCGTCAAAATTCAGATATTAGCTGAATTAAATTGTCCACTTTCTTATTGCGGCCTTAATACATCAGTTTGAAAACAAAGTAGAACACTGTTTGGAAGTTGGCTTTAACAAACGTCCAAAAAAAAAAACACCGTGCTGACAAATAGAGCCTGTCTTCCTGCTGCTTCCGGATGCTGCCGAATATGTTGCGCAGATAGACCAGATTGTTTTCATAAAATACGACCCAGGTAGGAGGATTTTCCTCATTTCTTCTATCTTTCTGAAACCCCTAAACAAAAGGAAAACAGTAGAGCCTGCCCTGCTGCTGCTTCCAGATATTGCCAAATATGTTGCGCAGATATGCCAGATTATTTTCATAGTATATGACTCGGATAGTTTATTTTATCTTTCTGTCGATTCATCCTCGCATGTGAAAATAGGTAGAATGGGTGTGATTTTGTGTAAAGGGAATGTCAGAGTAAGTACTATTGACTTAGCTCAGCTTCTCGAGATTTACAGCTGGTAGCGTACATACGGCAAGTAACGTTAATTCAAACTATATTAAGCGATATGAAAGCAATAATCTTTCTAAAATACCGGTATGCCCAGCTAGTTGGACATTTAGCCTTTCGATTCAGTGGGTTTCAAAGCATCACATATATGCAATATTGGTTCAAATTCAACTGTTTTCTTCAATTGTTCAATCCGAATTGCAAGAAGAAGGTACTTAATTCTGCCTAGGACGTTATGTAGTTTTATTGATTTTGTTTTGTTTTCTTAATCACAGCTTGATTACTATAAAATAAATGAACTGATCTTTTACCGAAGAATTGACATAATCTACTATCCTTCGTTTTTTTTATTACAACCCTTTGCAATTTCATTTCAACTTCTGAGCGCCAGCACAAAACTTTATTGGGACTATGGTATCCCGAATTGACTGCCAAATCCGAAAGGTAACATAAGAGAAATTGCTGGTGAACGAAGAATAATCCGATAAATGTCTCTCGCATGGCACTTGTAGCTTTGAATGCCTTATATTCTATTCTATTCGCTGGATGCTAGCACCTTTATCAAAAGTACTTTCTCGCAAATGTCTTACGGCTGTAATATGTTGCTCGGATTGGATTAATGCAGTCCAGGTTATATGTGAAATTGGTAGAGACAAGCTCAGGGTCGTCTATCACAATGTTATATCCACAAATAGTCAGCACGGTTGCGCTACTTGCAAGATAGTCTGCCAAACGAGCCTGCTCCATCAACATCTCGGTCATTCTAGCATCCAAGAATGGTGGGCTTCGAGATAAAGGTACGTCGACGGCAAACAGTGTATCCAAAACTATCATTATCAGTCGAATTAGAAGAGAAACGACGAGTATCATCAGATATTATATTCAAATTAGGAATTTTCGGCCAGGTTCTGCAGAATGCACAGAACTAAGCATTTGAGAAGGCATTTCCCCCCCCCCAGTTAGTAGCGAATTCCAGTGATAAAGCATTTGCAGTACCTATCGCACTGCCAGTAGTATGATTTGCAACCCGCGTTCACAAGTATTCCTGTAGTACTAGTTATGGTCATTGCAGTCTGATATACAAAACTTCAGTCTATGTAGAAATTATGATCGCTCAATACTATTATACGTACAAACGTGCAATGCGAGGGATATGTTATGATACCCGATTGTGCGATCAAATGTTTGTTTGTACCGTTTCTTATTATACGTACAAACGTGCAATGCGAGGGATATGTTATGATACCCGATTGTGCGATCTAATGTTTGTTTGTACCGTTTCTGAAGAATGATTTTCGACAGTCGAGTTGCAAACATGAAGAAAAGTAATAGTATCAAATGCAGTATAAATTTGAACAACCGATATTGCTTCATTATAATTTTTGCAAAGATCATAATACACTTAAACTTTCGGTTGTTATATCCCGATATATTGACAAGTTGGTTTGTGAAACATAATACTCGAAAATGTATCAGATTCGCTTTTGATGTAATTCCTTGTAGAGCACAAATTTAGATTCACAATCAAACACTATTTGAAGCCAAACGTATGGAAAGAAAATAGCAACATGAATGTTTCGAGCTCAAATTTGAGTATCTCAGGTATATGAGAATACTGTAATAGAAACATATACTATCTATAGCTACCCAAGTGTACATTCCAGAATAACCTTTAATATGTTAAACTACCATAGACTCTACTAGCAACCAAACAAACACGATTTCGTTGTATACGTAATCTTACAACAAAATAAATCGAAGAAGGCATCGTCCTATATTTGAAGACTATATGTCGTGTTTTACGCCTCTGTCCATCTTGTTCTTTTTTTGCCCGCTTTTTGGCTGTGATGTCTAGTTCCCCTTCCTTACCGTACAAGGTATTCGTGATCTCGTCGATCAAGCTCTTTAGTTGAAAGAACGAGTGAGGAATACCATACGCGTAGTCCTGAAGAGCAACAGATCCTTGTTATAACGGATTGTCACTGAGGGAGAGTCTTCACAGTATCGCAAGCTAGCTCTGATATACCTATTTGATACACCTTAGATAAAAACGTTAGAGAAAATCATGACATTCTATTAACGCGAATAATGATTTTATCAAACCTATTCGCTGTCTATTCACTCGTTAGCGAATTCACTAAAACGTATCAATAACGCCTTCAAAATCTTAAGTTCCAAATAACTTCGCAGCCTCCTAACTATGCAAGGTGAAGGTAGGGTGCACAAACATCATGCAAGGCAATCTTTAAAATTCCGGCATCCCTCTATAAAGAGACAACTGACATCAATTTCTCGCTCTTCGAAATTCTTCCTGGACTTAGGAAATTGAAGAAATACGGATTCACAAACGATCATTAAAGGTGAATGAAATCCTTCATTTTCAGTGAATGCAATGCAAAAGTTTTGCTAACCCTCTTTCGTCGGTCCTGGCACCCGATTCACAACGAGCATAAATCAAGAACAGATCAGGATTGATACTATATTCACCGAAAATACAGAATAAACTTATATAAAGCGAGGGATACAAGCGTACATCTTTAATTGGAAATATCATTTCTCGCTGATGATATTGAGAGCGACAATGAATGCAATGCAAAAGTTTTGCTACCCCCTCTTTGGTCGGTCCTGGCTCCCGATTCACAATGAACATAAATCAAGAACAGATCAGAATTGATACTATATTTACCGAAAATGCAGAATAAACTTATATAAAGCGAGCGATACAAGCGTACACCTTTTAATGGAAATATCATTTCTCTCGAGCTGGTGATATTGAGAGCGACAATTATCCCGATTTCATTTAATGATGGGTCATACATCGCAACGATAATATATGATTGACGGCACCATATTAAGCATATTTGTTTACTTCGACTGCTGTTAGCTTAGTTGAGAGTGCCAGACTACAAGCGAAGAGTTTGTGCATTCAAGTACTGAATATATTCCAGGATTCAAGTAGGCATTGCTGTCTGTTTCTTTAGTTTACTATGAGACTATGGGTAAAATTTATCCTATACAGTTGGGTTTTTCATTCGTAGTTTACTATGAGACTATAGTTAAAATTTTCCCTATACAGTTGGTTTTTTATCCGTCTTCGTGGAAAGAAGAATATGAGTTGACCAATGACATGCTCGTGGGTTTGCCGTTACTAAGAAATTTTTAAACTTTCGTTTTAGTCTTTGCATCAGGTCATTAGGCAGAGAGGCGGTCAGGCAGTCTGACGGGAAATACCTATAGACAGTAAGCTCGAGCTATCCTAAGGCTTCGTAAGATATTGCCTCTATCAAGCTGTCAGTGTTGTGCGAGTATACTCGTCCTGTTACCAGCGTGCACGGTGTTGTTCCAACGACGCTATAGTATGTTGCGTTGTTTCTAAGTGGAAGCTAAGTGTATTTTTGTTCCTCTCCCTGCAGCATACTGTTGAACTCCTCCCTTTTGAATTGATCTCCTTTATGTCCCCTATTAAATCCTTATCATTCTGAGTAGGAGGATCTGGGGTTTACACAACGAGATCAGTGTCGTAGAAGTGTGTGCAGTGGCAAGCATACCCTTTCACATTTACTCGAAGTGCAGAACCATCCTGAGCTAGTAGCACATTCTTGTATTCTTCTACATCCATAGGGAAGCTGAGGCAGTCTAGGCCATTGCCCTCCCCCAAATTCTGGGGTCTGGTAGCTGCTGTAAAAGTATTTATGTTGAACTGGAAGGCGGTCACGTCTGGATTCACGTGTCGCACGTAACCATGATGCAGTAACTACGTTTCCAGTACTGTCAAACCTTTGCAAGTGGAATGTCTTAGTCCGGAATGCGCAAAGAAGTACAAGTCACAAAAGAGTTTGAAACCACACGCAATTTCTGTGCATACTAGAAGCTTGAAACACAGAGAAGCGCGACGCACACTGGCGGTGTGCCAGGATTGTTCACTTAGTACTAGAACATCAAGCGGGAGGCCAGATCGGGTCACAGAGCCGCCGGAGAGGTTCAGTCAAGGGAAGACATATTTGTGAATGGCTACCTCTGACAGGTAAAGGTGTCCCATGCAACATCGGTGCTCGATGGCATTCATATATATGTGCAATAATGAGGACTAAAACATTCTCAAAGGCAATTAAAGGTAATTAAGTGGTGCCGAATGGCAAACGAAATCAGACACAGACTTGGTAACAAGCGAATACTTTTACGGTGCACTGTACATCGATAGTGGGAAAGTGCAGCAATCGTATTTGATCGTTAGACGATGGCGATAGCCACACAGGTTTTATATCAAAAAAAGGTAAATGTCATGCAATTCTTTCAACTATTGGTACAACTGTTGGCGCTCATGTGTTCTCCGATGTCAGAGTTAGACACGATACTTTGACGTCAAACGAGCATGCACAATGCGACTGCCTGGAGTCGACTGACGGTTGAAGATTGCAGCGCATCGAGTTGTAATTGTATCTTAGCTTGTATACAACCGCTACTGAACGTTAATATGTGTATGCCACATAGCCGGATGCTTACTATAGCGCACCGTTGTTCGTACTCGCCATCCCATCAACCTGCTGTCCATTCCAATTCCCAAGATGACTTACTTCTACCCTGTCATCGTCAGTCGCGTTGTGACGGTAAATCGAAGATGGTGAATTACACTATGCCTGGCTCCAGACATTCCAAGGAGCAATAGTGTATATCCACTGGTAGACCCACCAGTCTATATTCGCTATATACAGAGGTGCGACACGGCACACATCACCCAGTGCCTAGGGTGTTGCTCAGCCTATACGTGGAAGTCGGTGCAAATTCACTATTACAAACACCCTAGCGGCACGCTCTTCTGCAATTTGCATTGTTCGTCCATAATGGATGGGTGCGCAAGTGCCGATAGTTCATGGTTTCTGTATAGATACCTGGCTCCAGAGATCCGAGCAGTGGGACGTTGTGTGTTCGCTACACATCACCCCACATCACCCAGTGCCTAGGGTGTTGCTCAGCCTATACGTGGAAGTCGGTGCAAATTCACTATTACAAACACCCTAGCGGCACGCTCTTCTGCAATTTGCATTGTTCGTCCATAATGGATGGGTGCGCAAGTGCCGATAGTTCATGGTTTCTGTATAGATACCTGGCTCCGGACATCCGAGCAGTGGGACATAGTGTATCCACTGGTAGACCCGTCGGTAGACCTATCGGTCTATATTCGCTATAGATAGATGTGAGACACGGAACACATCCCTTAGTGCCTAGGATACTGTCCAGCTCGTGCGCGGAGTCGGTGAAAATACACTACAAACACCTTTGTGATATGCGCTTCTGGAATATGAACTGTTCATTCATACTGAATGGTTCATCATGTGTCGATGATTCCTGGTTACTGCGCATGGATCTACGCTTGTACTCGTTGTTTATATACTTAGCTCGGACCGTCAACTCCGGAAAGTTTGATTATTGAACAGTTCCAGCGTTATTGTGCTGAGAAATGCTGGATACGATCGACACTGTCCTAGATAAGCCTGCGACAAGATTGAGTTTTGAGCAAGATTTTAGAGCGATGAAATTACAGAGTAATTCACGCTGAAGCAAATCAGATACAGTATAAATGGGCGGATGATATACAAAACTAGCTTGTGCAAAATTTAATATTCAGGTATATGCCATAGTAGACGAAATCTGTCCATGCCACGATAGTACATATAAAGGCATGAGGCAAGCTGTACACATGAAGTAGCCCGATTATACGATACAACGATGCCAGACTCGGGTACTATGATGCATGCTTATTTCTTGCAAAGTGTACCTAGTACCAGAAATAGGACTTCCACAGCATGTCAACCTTGTGTAGGTTATGTAGTGGGAAAGCGCGAATGTATTCGCTACCGACTACCATGCGCAGTTCTTGCAAGACGACATTGCTGTTGAGTACAAGCACCAAAAAGCATACTCCGTAGGAAAACAATGTGTTCCCTGTCAACGCGCTTATGACTGACAAGTATTAATTTGAAGTTGTGCAGATAAAAGTACTTCTCCTTATTCACAAAGCGTGAATGTCTGTTTGTAAACATCCAATCTACTTAACTACAAAACACAAGGGACAGGCCTGGCTTGTGTTGACAACTGAGCATAACGTGAGACACAATTTGAATCTGCCATAAACACTCCCGTAGAAAACAACTAACCTTGCAAGTCTGCGACACAGTTTGTAAATCACGCAGCGCGTTCACTAAATCAAGGGTCAAGCAAGTCATATGATAAGTGTACACTGACAAGGAAGTGATGACCATACCGCGATGTTGTGACTCAGGTGCTTTGAGTATTCGGATTCGAGCAAATCGACGCGCCCATTCTCTTCGGAGCCCTTCACCAGTGGGGTTAAAAGTAGAGAGTATTATGACATATGTGTTGGGGGTCGATTTTGATATGAAGATTTGATCACGAAAGCTTGAATCCGCACACTTGTTTCGGACTGATGAGTCGAATTGTTGACGCTATCGAGTACCCACGAAGTATATATTAGTGCTTAAATATACACAACATTTTGAGTATATGTATCTTAAGTTTGTGCCCGAACACTCTGCTCGCCCGTATAGATGTATAACAACACATACATTAAAAATACGATGAAAGTAAGCACGTACTTTTGTTAGGGCTGGGCTTGGCTTGGCATTTTGGTCCCCAGTGGTTAGGATCTATTTATGCACACACATGAAGATTGGCAAGGAACCAAACACATCACGCTATAAAACGTTGTCAATTGCAACGAACAAATTGAGTCGGCAACAAACAAATTAAGCCGGGGACATAAACACAAGGACATTCACGATGTATGTGTGTTTTCCAGTCTAACCCGAGCCTTGTAAAAAGATCCAACCAAGTCCGATAGGTATTGCAGGCCAGCGCATCGCGCGGATGCTCCCCATGCATAGGAAACGTATGCAGAACAGGTTGCCGTCCTGGGCTCAAATTTATACCTTAAATAGCAGGTAGTCTCTTTTTGACTCGGCGTAGATAGAGAGCAATTTGTATTGACGCAATTCATCCATGTCAATCTTGAATCCAAACAGTGTGTACACCACCTCACGGAAGTGACTGAACTTCTTGGCAAACATCTGAGGCGGTTTCACCGGGATTGAGATGAAGCGCGAAAGTGTCAGCACTGATAGCCACAACCATTCCTGCGGGGCATATGTTGAAAATTTCACGAGAGGAATACACAGATGCCATATAGAAGTAGACTAAATATAAAACGTATATGAATGTAGCCTAGGCATGTCAAGATACAAACGAAAGATGGCGACACTGAAACACCGTGTTGCAGTTTTTCAAGTTTGAAGCGGTGCTTCATCACCATTTGAATACACTCCTACCAATGTACAAAACAGTTATTTGAGCCTTAACACACAGTCGCGCTATAAAAAAATACGCATGGGAAGGGCAAATGAACGCATATAT